ATCAAATCATTCACACAGAGGTAGAAAATAGTTTTTTTTCAATATTATTGCATGATTCTAATTATTAGAAAATATTTGAATAAGAGTCCTTTTCTTCCAATGGCTGATTTTCCATCTTAACAAAAATAAATTCAACTCAAAGATTCCAATCAAGACTTTTAGACAGCTGCAAAGATTCATAACTATGACATTTGAATGTATGCCGGCCATCACAGCTACCTAGGGATAAATTTGGTGTTAATATTATTCCAGTTCTTTGAGCTGTCACAGAACAAAAGGATCAAAATTCCCAAATCTCTCCTGCTAATATTTTTAAGATTGAACTTGTACTATTTGACCTTCATCCTTCTAATTGTTCCTGTAACAATATAGATTTTTATTAGAGGATCCCATGATGGTAACCAATAGGACATGCCATTCAGTAAACAAACAACATTTCACTCATTATAATCCTCTCACTTGACCTGTGCTGCTAGACTGAATCATCCAGCAAAGAAATAAATCACTGGTGGAAAAGTGCCCACTCAGGGAAGAAATACAAGGCCTCCTTATATCTTTCTTCACAATAAATAAAGGATTGGATTATGTCTATGTGTGTGTGTGTGTGTGTGTGTGTGTGTGTGTGTGTGACCCTTAACTGTAACAAACAAGAACAAAGCAACACAACTTGTGATATACCAAGCCAAATACACCTTAATAATGAGCCATTTAATATCCCATTTTAGGTTTAATAAACTCTATGGTGACTATTTGGAACTGGAAAAAAGAGAGGAACGAAATGTCATGCAGAATAAAATTCATGATTTTCTTGTTATTAAGGCCAGAGGTCCCACATCCCTGATCTGTGGACTGCTACTGGTCCATGGCCCATTGAGAAGTGGGCTGCTCAAGTGATGGGGGAGCATGCAAAGCTCCATTTGTGCATGTGTGGGATAAGGTTGTGCACACAAAATTCCCCCTCCCCGCCACTTGTTGCCACGACTGCCAGTCTATGAAGCAAGAAAGGTTGGGAACTGCTGAGTAAGGCCAGATGGTCCCAAGCATGCAACCATTACAAATGTGATGATCCAGGGCATGGCCCAAAGGCAACCCAGTCAGATAATTAGAGGTTCCTTTATTAGCTCCAACTTTGCCCCCAATGTTCCGGTTACCTTCCAAGCTGGAGAAAAACTGTCCCAGGAACCTGCAATTGCCTTTGGCTGCAGATATTCCAATCCAAAATGGTGTAAACAGAAAACTTTAAACTATAAATCCAACAAAGCAAAATAAGGTTATAGATCCGGCAGGGCAAAATAAGAAGTTCCAGAAGTGAAGTAACACAGCAGTAAATCCAACCATTTGGGAGGATGCCAGGAACTAAGATAACAACAGCCAACACAAGATAAACTCAACATTTGTTCCTGGCAAACGTCCCTCCCAACTGGTTCTCCTTCCAACTCCCTTCCCAGGTGTGCCTTGTGAAAAGAATCAGGGCCCTTTCCTCCATCATAAGTCATGCAACCCACATTGCTTTCTTCTCTGTTCTTCCCTGCGGGCCATAAGAAGAAGAGGGGATGGGCCTTGGTCTTCCTCTGAACTCCCTCTTCCTTGTTCTATCTCTTCCTTGCTCTGCCCAGCCTGACTTTGCCCTTCCCCAGTTTCCTCCACACCCAACAGAGTTACTCCTCCACTCCCTGATGGCTGTTCATCTTCCTCCTTGGATTCAGACTCCTACAGGGGCATGACACATATAAAATTGCAAGCAAATAATAAAAACAGAAAACTAGATAAAAAATATATTCACTAAAACATAAGGAAATACTGTTGATGTTTGTGAATCAGCCAGATCCATCTTGAATGCAACAAGGTTCAATTCAGTTTAAAGTCTTTCTCAAGTCAGACTCAGCTATTTTTTAACTAAATTATAGCCCAGATATTCCATTCCAGTATTAACAGCTGCTTAGCTTCTAAGGTTTGAACCAACTGATAAACAATTCAGTAAGATTTTATGTCATAGGCTGTAATGGTGACACATCAAAATATCTGCAATTTCAGCATTTGGGGCAGAATGGATCTATGCAGAAATAATAAGTATACCCCTCCTCCCCCCTCCCCCCCAAAAAAAAAATAAAAAAAAAAATCCAGCACAGCAGTTTTTAAACTTTTCAGGAAGTTTTTCAATTTCCAAGAAGTTGTGCTTAATTAATACAGAAAGTATTTTTCTTCTATTTAAAAAAAAACTGTTTACAATGGAAGTTCTTACTTAAGAACATAAAAACAAATGAATCCACCATTCTCTGCTTGGTTTTGTGAGCTGGCAGATTCATTGGCATGGCAAAATGAATTCTGAAGAAAGTGACACATTATGTGTCACTTGTCCATAATACAAGAAGCATTTGTGGATCCATAACCACTATTGCATACATAATGTACTACTGTATACACAGTATAAATATATAACATACTATATATATCATGGTACATAGACTTTGTGATGCATAGTTGTACAGCAGGCATACAATTTTATGCCCATTCATGCAAGGAAGGCTCATTCAGTACATGATCAAAACTTTTTCTTGTTTTGGTTTTTTTTTAATTTGTTTGCTTGTTTGCTTGTTTTCATTTGGGTCTAGTGGAGAGAATAAAAGAACAAAAAAATAAATAGGGAACTTGAATACAACAGTCAGATTAAATAAAGAGACTAACTGAACTATCCTTAAATTCAGCCAAACAAATGGAAAGTTACTTATCAGAATATATGGCTATGGATCAGGGAAAAGATAAAGGATCATATAAGAGCAAATGATGGCTCAGCAGCTAAAGATGCTGAGCTTGTCAACTGGAAAGCTGACAGCCTAGGTTCGAGACCCCAAGCACCATGCAACAGAGTGAGCCCCCATTCCTGCCCACTTGGCAACTTGAAAGTATACAAATGTGAGTGGACTAATAGATACCACTTCAATGGGAAGGTAACAGTGTTCCATGTGCCTTTGGCATATAGCCAATGGAAAATGTCTTTGGACAATGCTGGTTCCCTTGGCCAAGAAACAGAGATGAGTACCGCTCCCTGGAGTCAGACATGACTGGACAGGAAAAATCTTTACCTTTTTGGATAAAAAAAAGGAAACTGGATAAATTTGGATCTCTCTTCTTTTCTAGAGAATCTGTCTAAACAAATTACTGTATAGCAGAACAATGAGACAATAACAGGACTTCAGCAATCTTCTAATAGATAATTTTTTTAGAGATAATGAAACTCATTGGTCAGATATTTATACCAATTTAAGAGTACCACTACTTAAGAGTAAACCCCAGCTTTGTTCCTATAAGTTAGAAAAGTTGCAACATTTGAGACAGTTATCATGTCTCAAATTGTCCTGTTGTTTTTGAAGTGATTCAAAGGCAATTTATTCAATGAAATATCTAAAAATCAATTTGAATATTTGATTCCAATAATTGACTAGATTTGATTGACTATCCTTATAATTTGATCACCCCCAATAGGAAGTTGTTTTTTGTTCGACATTAGGACAGTGGCCTTTCAATGTCCACATGGGAATTTTTTTTCCCCAGCCCTACCTAATTTCCCAGGAAAAAGTGCATATAATATTCTACCATTAGCAACTTTCCTCCTTACAATAGCAAGGGAAGAAGGATTCAAACCAAATCAACAATTGACTGAAAAGCTATTTAACAGAATATTTGTTACATTTCATGTAATAAAAAGTTCTAAAATCTGAGCGCCACAGTTGAGAAACTTTGTCTCAGCTAGCTCAAGTTTCCAGTTGTGAGATATTGATTAAGAATTTCAATAAAAACACCACAGAGAGTTATGTTTAAGAAGGTTTTAACACAGTTGACTGACTGTGCCTATTTTGATTTGGTGGGTCAAAAGTTACCCTGACCTGAAATAACTGAGATCTGTTTTTGCAGTTTCTTCTTTACTAATCTTTCCAGTTCTTAATGGACATCAAATGGGAAAAGCTGTATTGCGGGAGTGACAAGGTTACTGTGTAATTTACATAGCCATACTTGTCCATAGATGCCAGACCTTTCTGCAAAATGCACTCAGCTTTGTAAGAAGACCAACTTGAGATGACACTCCTTGTGCAATTACTAGAGGCAAGTAAATGTATCTGAGAGAGCATTCAAGAGCAAAGCAATGCAGTTTGTCAACTCATGGCACTATGAAGCAATATCATATCCTTTATTTCAAATATACTAAATGCACTTCCTTTATGAGGCATTTTTTCAATAGATACAGTAATAATAATTCATCCATTATTACTGGATATCAAGCAAATTATTTTACTAATAGATCATTTTGAATTAAAGAACCAACATTTTAGGATCATACAAATGGCACAAAGGTACAGAGAAATCCTTAAACATTTGTCATCATATATATAGTTTCCAAAAATATCAGCAGTATTGTGACTTATCATCTAGCCCGCTTGGGCGGTGGAATCTGCTTTTTTCTTCCTTTGATTACTTTAAAAACAGATTAGGACTTCAACTTCCTTCAGTCTGACACATCATATATTCATCTGTGAATATTAATCATAATCAAAAGAAATTGTGTCTAATAAAATGCACAGGAAATAATAGCTGCTTCTCCCAAATTTGCCCAACCATTTTTCCCACACCCCTCTCAATAATATGTATATGTATTGTACATGTACATGTATACATACTTACATACTGTACGTGCATACATACATATATAACTTGAAAAGGAAGCCATTTCCAATTTGGTATATATATAATACATCTTCTCCATATACTTCAAGTCTTAGGGATATTTTCTCTCCTTTTTCTCTGGCATATAGCGATAAATTTATAAGAACTAAGCATTCTGCTGGTTGATCACTGATAGAATCAGGCAACAGGATAAAAAAATCTTATGCACATGAAATAAACAAATTCCATATTTTGACCACTAAGACTCCCAACCCTAAAGAACCACAGCAGACCCATCATTAGAAAAAAAATTTAAAAAGAAAGAAACCATGTTTGATTACCATCTTGTCCAGAACTCTCCAGATATTCACTTAGCTCGCAGCCAAAGACGTTTGTGGCTCCTTTCCTCTTGAGTTTCAGCTTTCCTGCCTTGTTCTTCATGAGTTAGTTCCAAAAAAGAGGATTACCCCCTCCTTCCTTCCCCCCACCCCCCTTTTTACACCAAATAAGTTAAAAGCTCTCCCCTCTTATTTTCAGATTTGTGTCGTTTGTGTCCCGTTTCTGGTCAGCAACATTGAAATCCCAGAAAAACTTTCAGCCGGATGCCTCAACATTAATCTCCACCAGATGTTAAGCTGTTGCAACTAAGGCTGTTGTAGAAGGGAACAATCAGTACATACAGAGATCTCCAGCAGGAAGCAGCATATAGTTTGTAGCCCAAGTTTAGGATGGTTCTCTGTGAGGGAGTTAAGAAACCAATGTCTCCAGCAAAACTGGCAACAGAGATCAGATTTTGGCTAAGGTTCTTCCTTGCTGATGTATACCAACAAATCAAATGAAGCTGGCCTTCAAATTAAATCAAGCTGGGTCTTTCATAGAAAAAAAACCAGACACTCCAAATCCATTTTTCTCCAATGAACTTGTAAAAAAGGGAGAGAGGGAAAAAGAGAGAAATACAAAACTGATGAAGAGCTACAAATCTATGTAGGCTCTACATTTTAAACCCCTTACTCTGTTTTGGGGTTATTGGACAGTATTAGGAGAACAAGGAATTGGCTTCCTTCCTTAATGCAGTCTCTCTCACTCTCCCCTTTCCTCTGCTTTTACAAATTCTGGGATTATCCAGTTCAGGAAATGCTTAAAGGAAGTTAGCAGGGGAGGGAGGAGGATGGACTTTTTTTGCAGTATGGCCAGTGAAGTGTGTGTGTGTGAGAGAGAGAGAGTGTGTGTGTTTAAAAAAAGTAAGAAGTGGGGAGCAGAAAGAGTATTTTTCAGCAAAAAAGGGAGGGAGAAGAATGTCCTGACAGCTAAAAGATAGTGGGACAGTCTGAAAGGAAATCATTCCACAGAGCAGGGGCCCATAGCAGCTTTGTGCTCTGACGTTTCCTGTTCCACAAATGGTCATCTCTGAAAAAGACTAAGGGAGGGGCAAGAGGAGGAGGGTGGTGTAAAACTGGTTTCAATAAATGCTCGACTCTTTTGATTGATTCCTTTGCCACAACATCTCTCTCTCTCTCTCTCTCTCTCTCTCTCTCTCTCCTCCCCCCCCCCACTCCCATGTTTCCTCATATCGGACTGAGTGTTCCTCTGTTTTCTATAACCGGAGTGATGGGGGAGGGAGGAGAGAGATTGAGCAAGCAAGTAATGAGAAAGTAAAGTGGAAGAAACTGTAAGGTCTCTCAGCCTAGGACCTACAAAACAAATACTTCTCGTTTCCTCAAGCCAGTTGAAGGTATTGAATCTTAAATTTCAACCTTCACATTAGATCATAACCTGCCACTCCTAGCTGCAGCATTCCATAACTAGTCAATAAGGCATCCAGCAATTTCTGAAAAGAAATAGTTGTACATCCTACTGTTCTAAAGTTAAATAACATTGAGGCTCCAATATGTGCTATTTCTGTCATGGCTTCATTGCATGATACAAAGTGATTTAAATAGATTGGGTTAGTATGATTTCTTTCATTTCAGAGTTCTTGAAATAGAAGGAAAGGTATTGGCTTTTTTAGTTGATTTTTAAAAAATAAACCAGGCAGCCTATAAAGTACAAACAAAAAACAAAACAGTGTGTTCTTCAGAGCTGAAGAAGCTTCTTGGATGAGAAGCAAAACATCTTCAAAGAAAAATCTGAAAGTCCAGTTGCCTCTTGAAAAAGCACCTTCGGGACAAAAAACAAAGCAGCTATTCAAACTGCTTTGATAAAGATACCCAACACTATGAACAATCTTTAAAAACAAAGTATAACTTATACAAGCACTACGTGATTTTGATCCAACTACCATCTAATTTAGCTATTAGAATTTTTTTTTGCAAATTAAACATGTTTTAGGAGAAGCAGACAATTGGTGCCCGCCAGGTTATCTAGAATATTCCCTGAATATTAGCGTGGATTTGGAATTTATAGAAGTTATACTCAAAACATAATATGGTATCCTATTTTGTTCAGAAGCAAAAATAAACTTTGGATTTTTAAACAATTATTTCATTGGACATCTTCACTGAGCAAGTCTATTCTAAACTTATTTATAGAACACAGTCTTGTATTTATTTTGAATGTCTTAAGAGAGGGGCATGGATTTTATTAGATCTTATGACTTATAATCAGATGTATGTATGATTTTTAATGGGAAGGCTAGACTAATAGTATTACAAATGAAGATACTTCAAACTAGACACATGTTTAACATTTCTAACAAAGGATCTCTAAGAAATAGATCTTTATGTTTGTTTTCTTTTTTTTTCTTGCTTTTTGAAAAAATATAACTGGAGATAGTGATCTGATTGTATGGAAACTTTAAATAAATTATAAATATCACACACACACACACACACAGAGAGAGAGAGAGAGAGACGGACACGGATGGACACACATGAACACACACCTTTAGACAATGTAAGAAATATTGCAGCAAATCCAGAATGTTGTGAGAAATGTATCTAGCCAAAAATGGTCTTATACATGATTTTAAATTAAAAGTGGGCAAACTGTGCCAGTGAATCCTTTTTTCTGGATGCTGGAGGCTCCTGTGTATAAATTACGAAAAAGCAATGGACTGGTTTTCCCTATATTAAGGCACCCACCCTAAAAATATCATTCCTTCACAACAGGAGAAAATAAAAACTTCTTGTTGTTCATTTGTTCAGTTGCTAAGTCAACTCTTCATGACTCCATGAACCATAGTACACCAGGCCCCCTCTGTCCTCCATTGTCTTCTGAGGTTTGATCAAATTCATGTTCATTGCATCTATGACACTATCTAACCATCTAATCCTTTTGCCTTCCATCTTTCTCAACATCAGGGTCTGTTCCAATGAATCCTTTCTTCTCATTGGTGGCCAAAATATTTGAGCTTCAGCTTCAGTATCTCTCCTTCCAAAACACAGCCAGGGTTGATTTCCTTTATGATTGAATGATTTGATCTCCTTACAGTCCAAGGGACTCTCAAGAGTCTTCTCCAACACCACCATTTGGAACCATCAATTTTTTGGTGCTCATCCTTCCTTATGGTCCAACTCTCACAGCCATGCATACTGGGAAAACCATATATTTGACAATAGGGAGTTTTGTCGGCAAGGTAATGTCTCTGCTTTTTAATATGCTTTTTATTATGTTTTTAGGTTTGCTAAAGAAAAAAAAAGGTCATGTTAAAGTGTGCAGCATGGCCACTTCCATTTTGCATCTTTATACCTGCAGTCCTAAATCCTTCATATTCAAATATTACATGGAGTCTCATCCACCTAAGACATGTCCATCAGTGGGATTATAGCCAGGTCTACAATTGTAACAGAATATGTTTCTTCTTCTTCTTCTTCTTCTTCTTCTTTTTCTTCAGCGTTTGTCTCGCGCTCTGGCGAGGTCCGCTAATGTCCTTGAGTACTGCTTCCACGCCTCTCTGTCTGCCACGTATGTCGGGTCTGCCTTCGCGGTCTCTAGATCGGCCTTGATCGTGTCCATCCAGCGTTGCTTAGGTCTACCACGCGGTCTCGCTCCTCCGACAATCACCTTCATCGTAGATTTGATGATGGATTCTTCCTTGGCGCGACTCACATGGCCGAACCATCGTAGCCGGGACTGCCTCATGACCGTGGGGATGGGCACGACGTTGAACCGTCTGCGCACTTCTTCATTCCTGACGCGATCGAGTAGGGTGAGGCCTACCGACCATCGGAGCATTCACATCTCCATTGTCTGGAGTCTGCTTTCGACTTCTTTGGTCGTCGGCCAGCACTCTGCGCCGTATATGGCCACGGGGCGCACCACAGAGTTATAGATTTTCGCCTTCAGGCGCATCGGCATCTTCTTGTCACAGAGGACGCCCGTGACGGACTTCCATTTGCCCCACGCTGCGTTGATCCTGGCTGCCACCTCAGTTTGTAGTAGGCCTTCTTCCCCAAGAGTAGTTCCCAGGTACTTGAAGAATATGTTTCTTATGTCGAGGAATATGAGATTTCTTATGTGGAGAAATAGCAATAATTATAATGGAGAAAGATTGCTTCTGGCTTGTTCTCATTAGTGCAGAATCTAACACTCCTCCCAATATTTTAATGTAAGGCAGCAAAAGAGTTTAGATGAGATGCTCCTAGCATGCCAGCACCTATCATGCAAAAGAGATTAGAAATGCCACCACTGTGAACACTGAAATATAGACGGATATTATAAAAGTACTGGGTGAGTCTTTTATTAAATCTGAAAAGAATGTAACATTTAGGCATTAGTCAGGGCAAGGGATATATTGAGAACAGAATAGTGGTCAGAACCTGGGTGGTTGCTAAAGCTTTGCATGAAACTATGTCAATCAAGATAATATTTTGGATTTTGCAATACTTAGAATGAGCCAAAATAATATCAACTGAAATTTAAACTGGAATTAAACTGGAATTAAATTTGTGGATAGTAAATATACCTTCAGGAGAGCCAGTTTGATCTAGTGGCTAAAGCATCAGACTAGACTGTGAATTCTACCTTAGGCATGAAAGCCAGCTGGATGACTTTGGGTCAGTCAGGTTCAGATGACAAACTGGTTGGTCAACCAATGGCTCAATACTCAACTGATCTTAAAAAAATGGATTATAGGAAATGTTGAAAAAAAAATATATGTAATACCCTGGGTTTCAGAAGTTCAGAACTGCCCTCCATCTAGCAACCATTGATAAGCTGGTCTTTTCTGAATTTGTCCAGTCCTAAATCTCTAAACTGATGGCCACCTTCCCATTTTAGAAGGGTAAAATGGTCCTGTTCTTATTTAATGCTTAATTGTTTAATAAATGGATTAACATGTGATAGAAACATGAGAAGATTTGGTCTTGTTCCTTGTCAGAGATGGTTGACAGTCTTTTCGGAAGAGCAGAAATCAATGCCTTTGCGTTATATTGTTTGTTTGCTGCATGGTTTGTCTGCTTCGTTACCTGAGTCCTCCTAACTGTGCTAGAGCATATCAGTTTGCTACAGGCTATCCTCAGCAGTTCATTAATTAATTTACAGAGGAAGAACTAGTTGTTCAAATCAGTTAATACTTACCATCCACTCTAATTCTGCTGACTGCCGATTGCCAACAGTTCAGCAGTTTGATCCTCACTGGCTGGTTGATTCAGCCTTCCATCCTTCCGAGGTGGGTAAAATGAGGACCCAGACTGTTGGGGGCAATATGCTGACTCTGTAAGCCGCTTAGAGAGGGCTGTAAATCACTATGAAGCAATATATAAGTCTAAGTGCTATTGCTATCCTGGAGGTGACCTACAGGTAGTCCTCAACTTACTTCACTTAGTGACTGTTCAAAGTTACAATGGCACTGAAAAAAGTGACTTATGACCATTTTTCACATTTATGACCATTGCAGCATCCCCATGGTCACATGATTGAAATTCAGATGCTTGGCAACAGACTCATATTTATGACGGTTGCTGTGTTCTGGGTCATGTGATCATTTTTTGTGATCTTCTGAGAATCAAAGTCAATGGAGAAGCCAGATTCGCTTAAACTATGTTATTTACTTAACAACTGCAGCGATTATTTCACAACTGTGGCAAGAAATGTCTTATAATGGGGCAAAATTCACTTAATGACTATCTCACTTCGCAACAGAAAT